AGCCCGGCGAGGGGGCGGAGCCCGGCGGGCGCGGCCCGAGCCCGGGGAATCCTTTCAAGTTCTGGGTCCTCTTTGTTGCGCAATAGAGCCCCGCGGCCGCGCGGCCCCATTGGCTGGGCCCGTGACGTCACGCGCAGGCCCCGCCCCCGGGCCCGCCCCGGGAACTTCGGGGCGGGTGGGACCAGGACCCGGGCACCTGCGGTCGGCCCAGTGCCGGGAGCCTGCCCATGGCTGTGCGTGGTGCGGTGTGGGAGCCTGCTCGCGGGACCAGCCTGGGGCCTGGCCCCGGCTCCCACCGCTCCCCATCCGGACCGCAGAGGGCCGGCCCCACCCGCCTTGGGCCCTGGCTGGCCGTGCTCCTAGGCACAGGACAGGAGGCTCACAGAGACCTCCGCTCTAGGAGCTCCAGTGCCTGGTGAGGACACTTTAGGGTGTGAGAGGCTGGAGCTGGCCTCAGGCACGTGGAGGTTAGAGCCTGGCTCTGAAGATTAGAGCCTGTCTCCGGCACCACCAAGGACCTGGGCAGATAGATGGTTGTTCCTCTGTCTACCTCCAACAAGGACCTGGACGGATGGTGGTTTCTCAGTCTACCTCTCCTGAGTCACCTTTGAAATGGGATGGGAAGCTGGCACAGTGGCCTATAATCCTAGCTACTTGGGAGGCTGAAATCCGAAGGTTCAGTGTCAGCTTGCCAGAAAAGTTTGCTAGACTTCATTTCCAAAATAACCAGAAAAAAAAAAAAAGCAGGGCTGGGAAAGTACCAGACCAACAAGCACAAGGCCCCAAGTTCAGACCCCAGTACAATAATAATAATAATAATAACAACAATAATAATACATGTTTTCTCTCATGTACAGAAAAAAAAATCTCGGGGCTGGGAAGGTGGCTCAGTGGTAGAGTGCTTGCCTTGCATGCATGAGGCCCTGAGTTCAATTCCTCAGAGCCACATAAGCAGAAAAAGTTGGGAGTGTTGCTGTGGCTCAAATGATAGAGCACTAGCCTTGAGCTGAATAACTGAGGGACAGTGCCCAGGCCCAGAGTTCAAGCCCCGTGACTGACAAAATAAAATGAAAGAAAAAAGCTAAGGGAGAATGCCCAGGCCCTGGGTTCAAATCCCAGTACTGGCACAAAATAAAAGAGTAAAATTGGGATTATTTGTAGGAGTTCTGCAAAAGGAGAAGGGCGAAAGGAAAGGATGGTGATATGAGGTACTTCATATGCACATGTGAAAATAAAATAATGAAACTTGTTCTAATAGTCTTAAAAAGGAGAAAGATTAATAGAGTTGGTGTCAATTTGGGCAAAGAGCATCACACAAAACCCCTCTGTACAATTACTATGCCCTAATTAAAAAATAAGGATAGCAGCAGTCCCCATCATAAGTGCACCTGTCTCCCTAACCACAGAGACACACCTACATTATTCCCTGCAGCATGCCACTGTTAGGCTAGACAAGGGGAGGCACTGTCGCTGTGAAGTGCTGTGTAGGTAGCTGCCTGTGGTGCTTTCCTCACCACCAGCCAACATGCCAGCAGGGTGGGCCTGTACCAGACAAGCCTGCATGTGCTTCTGCCAAGCGGCCCTAGCCAACCCACCAGGTGCCTGGTGGTTAGAGATGTCTGTGGCCTCCGACCCACTGTGGTTAAACCACACTGCCAGCTGAGCCCATTCAGCCTGCCCGGCACACTGAAGGGTACATGCAATTCTGTGGTCCCCTCACTCAGAGGCTATGCTGTCCCAGGTCCTGGCTTGGTATATGCCTATGCATATACACATATACGTGTAGATGTGTGCATATGCCTGTGCACTCATATGCATATATGCATACATGTATGAACATACATATGCATACAGTGTGTATATGCATAGCTCTGTGCACATGCCATACATGTGTGCAGATGTGCAGATGTCATACACGTGTACACATGCATGTACATGCATACCTATACCCATATACAAGTGCACGTTTAAACATCTGCTGCAGATCTGAGGTTCAGCCACAGAGCCAAACTCAGTGTGCTGGCTCTACAAAAGTATTTATGGAGTACTGACGGGCTGCACTGAGCGTTTCCTCCGGCCTAGCTCATTAACCATCTCTGACACTCTTCAAGACAGACACTTTTCTTCCTTCCTTTCTTTCCTTCCTTCCTTCCTTCCTTTCTTTTTTTCTTTCTTCCTTCCTTCCTTTGTTGGTCATGGGGCTTGAACTCAGCCTGGGCACTGTCTCTCAGCTCTTCAGCTCAAGGCGAGCACTTTACCACTTCTGGCTTTTTCTGCTTATGTGGTGCTGAGGAATCGAACCCAGGGCCTCATGCATGCAAGGCAAGCACTCTACCATTGAGCCACCTTCCCAGCCCAAGACAGACGCTTTTCTGTCTGCTTGACAGATTAGAAAACTTAAGGCACAAGAGTCATCAAGTCAGGAGCTGGGGTTGGAATCTGGTGGCTTGACTTGAACCCTTACTCTTCCACCCTCCCTCGTGACTTTGAGGGTATAGTTAAGGAGGTATTCTGGTCACAGGAGGGGCTGGTGGGGCTGGGAAGGTGGCTCAGTGGTAGAGCGCTTGCCTTGCATGCATGAGGCCCTGGGTTCGATTCCTCAGCACCACATAAGCAAAAAGAAAAAAGCCGGAAGTGGTGCTGTGGCTCAAGTGGTATAGCGCTAGCCTTGAGCTGAAGAGCTGAGGGACAGTGCCCAGGCCCAGAGTTCAGGCCCCACGACCGGACCCAAAAAAAAAGGAGGGGCTGGTGGGGAGTCAGATGGGCCCCCCCATCTCCCACACTGGGTGTGGCTGCAGAGGTGGAGGCCACTGTGCCAGCAGCAACCTAATCAGTGTTAGGGTAGGACTTTCTCTGGCCGCAGCAGTCCCCCACCTGGAAGAGGTTCCAGCACGCCAGCGGGTGCCTGTGAGCTAGGGGTGCAGCCGATGCCACTCTCCTTGTGTAGGGGGCAGAGGCACAAAACCCCGTGAGACAACTCAGGGATCCTCAAGCATCCCGGGACCACAGACATCCCAAGGACTGCAGACAAGATGGGCGGAGGGGAGCTGCCAGCTGGGTGGGGACAGCAGAATCGCTTCCCTTGCCTGAGAGCCAGGGGGCGTGGCCAAGACCCCAGTGTCCCCCTCGACAGCTGCAGACACTGTCTCTGGGGCATCCTGTGGTTGTGGCTGTGGCTGGTGGTCAGAGACCAAGAAAATTGTTGGCCTAAGCAGAAGAGATTACGCAGGCTTTGGGGCGAGCCTTCATTTAGCAGGAGGCTTTGCCCTATGCAGCGCCCCCCTTGCCCTAGCTGCAGCCAGGGTGGCCAGCCAGGGCTGTGCCCACACAGGCAAGGATTCGTCCCCCCAGCCCACTAGTAGGCAGGACGCCTCCCCTGCCCAGCAGCTGAGTCCCTGGCTCACGCTCCAGGGCCGCCAGCAGTCCCTGTACAGGCTCCAGGTTCGGTCTAGGCCATCCTGAGGCCTGTGCAGATTAAGCCGTACAGAACTCGCTACTGACCAGCATCCCAGCATCGCCCGCCCGTGCTGGCCACCACCGTACACGGCACGTGGGCCAAGCGTGACAGGACACAGTTCAGGGACTTTCCCCAGCCATGCCATCAGAGTTCTAGAGCTTTCCCCAGGCTGCGGCTGCCCCAGGGCCTGCCTGGGGCTGTGCTGTGGAAGCCTGGCCAAGGTCTCACCAGATGAAGCAGACTTTTCCCTTCAGGAAAGAGAAAGGGAGCTTAGGGGCTACTTCTCTCAGGCCTGGCCCCATGTGGCCAAGTCGGGGAGGGGACTAAGGTCTGAGTCCCTGAGATGTTAGAGGGAGGCCCAGTGTGGAATGCAAGGACAGGGCCAAGCACCGCAGCGTCCATCCCCACCCAGCCTGGCCCAAGGACGCAGGTGACCTGGAAGAAAACCCAGTTTCTTGCTGAGCACAGAGGCTGACACCTTCATTCTAGCTACTCAGAAGGCTGCGATTTGGAAGACGGAGGTTCAAAGCCAGCTTAGGCAGAAAAATTCCTCAAGACTCCATTTCCAATTAACCAGCAAAAAGCCAGACACTGCGGGGAGAGGAGGACTGGAGGCATGGCTTGGGTGGCAGAGTGTCAGTCAGTGAGTGAGAGTGTCAGATCAAGAGTTCACATCCTTGGGCTAGGAAGGTGGCTCAGTGGTAGAGCGCTTGCCTTGCCCTGGGTTTGATTCCTCAGCACCACATAAGCAAAAAGAAAAAAGTTGGAAGTGGTACTGTAGCTCACGTGGTAGTGCTAGCCTTGAGCTGAAGAGCTGAGGGACAGCGCCCAGGCCCAGAGTTCAGGCCCCACAACTGGACCCCCCCCCAAAAAAAAAGAGTTCACATCCTTGGTGGGGCGCTGGTGGATCACAACTGTGATCCTAGCTATTCAGGAAACTGAGATCTGAGGACTGCAGTTCAAAGCCAGCCCAGGCAGAAAAGTCCATGAGACTCACATCTCCAATGAACCACCAGAAAACCAGAAGTGGCGCTGTGGCTCAAGTAGAGTACTCACCTTGAACTGAAGAGCTCAGGGACAGTGCCCAGGTCCAGAGTTCAAGCCCCACAACCAACAAAAATAAAAAAATTAAAAAGGGAGGGGGGCTAGGGGACTTACATTCCAAGCCTTGATCAGGAGCAGGTTAAATAAGGAATGTGCACTTATTGGGCTCCCTTGTATACAGTCCCCTGGGCAGGAGGCCTCCGCAGATAGCCAGACTCATCTGAGACACCAATATAGCTTCCTGCGTAAGTCAGGACTGGACGTGTAATGATGTAGTGACCCAGAGCTACACTGATTGTGTCCCCCCCCCGCCCCCTCCCCAGATGCTCATGGTCCCTGGCATCCCCAAACTGCCGTTTGTGAGGGCTGCTGCTCTACCAGGTCTGGCTCACAGGAGGATGCCCCGGCCACCTGCCAGCTCCGGCCTGCACCATGAGTGAGGAGCGGCGGCTGCCCGGCAGTGCGGTGGGCTGGCTGGCGTGCGGAGGCCTCTCCCTGCTGGCCAACGCCTGGGGCATCCTCAGCGTCGGCGCGAAGCAGAAGAAATGGAAGCCGCTGGAGTTCCTGCTGTGCACGCTGGCAGCCACGCACATGCTCAACGTGGCCGTGCCCATCGCCACCTATGCTGTGGTGCAGCTGCGGCGCCAGCGCCCTGACTACGAGTGGAGCGAGGGCCTCTGCAAGGTCTTCGTGTCCACCTTCTACACCCTCACCCTGGCCACCTGCTTCTCCGTCACCTCCCTCTCCTACCACCGCATGTGGATGGTCCGCTGGCCCGTCAACTACCGGTGAGTGTGGCGGCCCGGGGCGGGGGGGGGGACATGTGAGCTTGGGGATGGCACCAAGCTGCCGGGGGCACGCATGGGTGTGTCTGCACCGCCAGGCCTGGGCAAGCCAGAAGCTGGTGACTCACACCTGGAATCCTAGCTACTCAGGAGGCTGAGAGGATGACAGTTCAAAACCAGCCTGGGTAGGAAAGCCCGTGAGACTCCAGTTCACCAGCAGAAACACTGGAAGCAGAAGTATGGCAGAGTACGAGCCTTGAGCAACAACAAAAAACCAACACAGGAGCAGTGCCTAGGCCCTGAGTTCAACCCCAGAAAACACACACACACACACACACACACACACACACACAAGCATGGTTAGGTCAGGTGACGGTGCTGGCTAGGCCCTGAGTTCAACCCCAGAAAACACACACACACACACACACACACACACACGCATGGTTAGAAGGTCAGGTGACGGTGCTGGCTGCAGGTCCTGAGGCCCGGACATCCCTATGATTATCACAGGGTTTTTCTGTCCTGCCCCATCCCGCACCAGGCTGAGCAACGCCAAGAAGCAGGCGGTCCACACCGTCATGGGCATCTGGACGGTGTCCTTCATCCTGTCCGCCCTGCCCGCCGTGGGCTGGCATGACACGAGCGAACGCTTCTACACCCACGGCTGCCGCTTCATCGTAGCCGAGATCGGCCTGGGCTTCGGCATCTGCTTCCTGCTGCTGGTGGGCGGCAGCGTGGCCATGGGCGTGGTCTGCACAGCCATCGCCCTCTTCCAGACCCTGGCTGGGCAGGTGGGGCGGCGGGCGAACCGCCGTACCTTCACCGTGCCCACCATTGTGGTGGAGGATGCCCAGGGCAAGCGCCGCTCCTCCATTGACGGCTCAGAGCCCGCCAGAACCTCGCTGCAGATCACCGGCCTGGTGGCCACCATCGTGGTCATCTATGACTGCCTCATGGGCTTCCCCGTGCTGGTGGGTAACCATGCCACGTGGGGAGACCGTTCGAGGACGTAGACTCTCGGTTGAATCCTCAAACCCCAGCTTTGGTTTGTTTTTTTTTGGGGGGGGGTCCAGTCGTGGGGCCTGAACTCTGGGCCTGGGCGCTGTCCCTCAGCTCTTCAGCTCATGGCTAGCGCTCTACCACTTGAGCCACAGCGCCACTTCTGGCTTTTTTCTTTTTGCTTATGTGGTGCTGAGGAATCGAACCCAGGGCCTCATGCATGCAAGGCAAGTGCTCTACCACTGAGCCACCTTCCCAGCTCCCTTAAACCCCAGCTTTGGATTTGGGGGTGAATTATTGTCCCCGTTTGATGGATTGGGAAATGGAGGCAAATGACCTTCCTAAAGTCTGGGAAGTTGTTGCCAGACTTAAGTCCTCATCCATCCACTCAGGTCTTCTGCCTGCAGAGGGATTTCTCCTCTCCAGGGAGAGAGGAGTAACAGGCCTGTGGCCTCCGTGGGCCCAGGTCCCAGGGCATGGCCAGGGCGGCGTAAGGCCAGGCAGGACTTGCATGTCTTTGGGAAATTGTTCTTGACCCTAAGGGTTAGGGAAGGCCAGGGTAAGAGCTAATCCAAAGACGGCCTGGACAGCAAGGATCCAAAGTCCAGCGGGACTTCCAGGGGTCTTTGCTGTGCAGCCTGGAGGAGCAGGCTGTCCAGGAATGACACCCAAGGCTCCAGATGCGGGGTGTCCGGAGCAGGGCAGGGAGGGGAGGGGCCCGGGGGCAGCTGCAGGCTTTGTCCACCCAAAGAGGGGCAATGACATAACGGGCTTCAGCCTGTGCCCTTGCTCAGGAGGCAGCTCCTGCCGCCCCAACCCCTCCTGCCCTCTTCCCCAGGCTCCGCAGTCCCACTTCCTCTGTCCACAGAGGGAAGAGAAGGCCAACATGGTGGGGACAGTGGACTCTGGGAGGGCCTCTCTCTGGAGCACCGGAGCCCACTTCGTGTTTCTGGCCTGTTAAATCAGACCAGAAACTTTATCTCCCCCTTATACGATAGTGTGAGGTGGACTCAGCCTGGTTCACAGATGAAGAAACAGACCCAGAGAGGTTAAGCAGCTTTCAGCAGATCACACAGCACACGAATGGCAGACGCTTCCACTCCGTCCTAGGAATCTTGTAACACTCTGTCTGGGCGGGTGTGGGAGCAGTGAGGGAGGCCTCTCCTGGGACAGCAGAAGTGAGTGGCCTGTAGAAGTGACCCAAAGGACACCTGGCTGGACCCTGTGTCCTTTGACCCTTCTGGCATCTGGGTTCTAAGCCCCCCAGAGCTGGGACAGAGAGAAGGAGGCCTCCAGCCAGGAAGAGCCAGAGACCTGGGTCAGCATAGTGTAGGCTTGCGATCTGATTCTCTAGACCCATCCAAAGAGGGAGGCAAGTCATGCCACACCATCCCATGCGTAGCCACTGGGGCGTCTGAGGAGGAAGATGCACAGGGCGTCCTGGTACGGGGGGGGGGGGGCTGGGCACCGGGGATAACCAGTGAGGCACCCCGCCCCCACCCCGCCTCCACTCTGGTGTTCTCCTGCGAGCCTGGAGTTCTCTCTCCCCCTCCTCTGAGCTCTGGCCAGTGGTGTTCAGCTAAGGAAACTGAGTCTGGGAGGGGTGGTGGGGAGGAGGCCTGGCAGTCAAGCCCAGCCCTGTGCCCGCAGGTGGTGGGCTTCAGCAGCCTGCGGGCCGACGCCTCTGCGCCCTGGATGGTGCTGTGCGTGCTGTGGTGCTCTGTGGCGCAGGCCCTGCTGCTGCCTGTGTTCCTCTGGGCCTGTGACCGTTACCGGGCCGACCTCAGGGCCGTCTGGGAGAAGTGCATGGCCCTCATGGCCGATGATGGGGACTCGGAGGACGGTGAGGATGGCCTGGGAGTGGTCTCTGGGGTGACCCCATTCTGCTGGATATTCCCTGTTATCACCCCAAGCCCAGGGTGCCAGTTAACACACAGAAACTAGAGACTCCTAAACTCTACATGTAGCCTTGAGCCCCCTGGCTCACCCTTGACCTTAGGGTCCCCAAAGAACTCAAGTATTCTGCCAGGCCCCCAGTGGCTTACACTTATAATCTTAGTTACTCAGGAGGATGAGATCTAAGGACTGAGGTTCAGAGCCAGCCCAGGTAGACAAATCCTCAAAATTCTTTTTTTTTTGGGGGGGGGTCCAGTCGTGGGGCCTGAACTCTGGGCCTGGGCGCTGTCCCTCAGCTCTTCAGCTCAAGGCTAGCGCTCTACCACTTGAGCCACAGCGCCA